ATAGCTGGTGAGGTTCTATTCGCCGAAGTACTCGTCACGCCAACGGGAGTGTCCAAAGGCCTGTGGGTAAGTGACTTCTACAATACTTCCATAATCTTAACTGACTCATCGCACAGCATTGTTGAATTTGCTTCACCTGAGGATGCGCAGCGCGCCATCCGCGAACTCTCCGAAGTGGCCATGCTCGGTCGCCCTGTATTTATTCGCGAGGTACGACTCCCTTGTCTGGTTGGTGCTATACCCACGCTGCAAAATAGGACCGGGAGAACGAATCGCGCTTCGGCGCTACGCCTGTCCCAGGCAAGATTGGAATGGCGATGGCAGGGCAAGGTTTGCATGCGCAGCCACCTCCACGTCCGCCCCATCATAATTATTTTGGAACTCACAACAATCCGGGCAATCAGTTGTATGTTGGTAATGTAGGTTTATCTTTCTGCTATGTGTTATCTGTGCTGAATCATCTACAAAGCTACCATACCAGGCTGGTTGGCAGGACCTCAAGGATTTGTTCCGTTCGGCTGGTAATATTATTCGGGCTGATATTAACATTGGTGCGGATGGGCGTCCCAAGGGCTCCGGAACTGTAGTCTTCGAGACTGCGGCTGATGCTAAGCAAGCCATCGGTACAACCTACTCACATCTTCGTAGACGTCGACTAACCCCTCGTGCAGGTATGTACCACGGCTTTGACTGGTATGGCCGGACACTTGAGGTTCGGGAGGTAAGTTGGAGGTTGTTACTCTGTCTCCTAATGCAATGCTGATAGTCTATCAGGATCGCTATGCTGGCCTTTCTGGCCCAGGCTCATTCCGTGGCAGCCCTTTCCGGGGTGGTGGTGGTGGTGGCGGCGGCGGTTATGGTGGTCGTGGTCTACGTGGTGGCTTCAGAGGTAGCCTCCGTGGTGGTTACCGTGGCGGGTTCGCGCCCTCTGGTCCTGCTCGTGATTTCTCGAATCAAGACTTGTACGCAGACTACTCCGGCCCTGACCAGCCTGCTGCTCACGGTGGTCTGAGAATGGATGGCTACGGTAGCGGCTACGGGAGTAGTGGCTATGGCGTGCCAGGTGGTGGTGGCGCCGGGGGTGGATACGATGCCGAGCCTAGCCAGCAAATCATGGTTCGCAATGTGAGCGGTTTTGTTGTTGTTCTGTGTGAACAGTATTTATATGCATTCCAGCTCCCTTGGTCGACCGCAAATGAAGATCTCGTCGAGTTGTTCGAGACTACTGGGCAAGTTGAGCTCGCTGAAATCCTTTTCGATGGCGCTAGATCCAAGGGATGCGGTGTTGTCCAGTTTGCTCAGGTTCAAGAGGCAGAGACGGCTATTGGTAAGCGACCGTTGTTTTACTTCTTTTAGGTCGCACACTAACGCAACCGCGTAGCAAAATTCCAGCAGTACATGTATGGTGGACGCCCTCTCGACGTGCGGTTCAACGACCGATGGCATACGTTTACACCTACTGCAGCCAAGGGCGGTCAGGTGATGCCCATGCAGGCGGAGTGATCTATTTGTACCCTTGCCACTTCCTTCTGTCCTGTCGACACCTGAACTCTAACCGCGCTCAGGTCGATTTAAAAAATATTGTGAATCGCTGTTGAACGTTTTGTCTCTTTCAAGATTGATTTTGTCTTTAACTAATCGTAAAGTTGAATGTGCGTAGGCTTGCAATGAATCACTGTTTAACAAGACCTGTGAGCTTGAACTGCTTTTACTGCCATCAGAATGTATACAGGTCCGAAATGGTATAGTAACTGCTGCATTGATTTTTGTCATATGACTGCTGATTCGCATTTTGTTTGCGATGATGGGCGGAAGTGTGTTGACTTACATTCACGAACTCCATGTGGTCGACGTGACTCCCCCTACTAAGTAACTGATGTGGATACCTCGCTCACTGTCTACAACCATAATGGACAATTTGTTCAGGTGGGAAATATCCTGTATGATATGACTTGAACAAGTATTTTGCAATGCCCCAGGTTATGGCCCTCACAATGTTCCCCTCAGCTCAAACCCCAGATCCCAATACTCTCCTGGTGCAGCAGTGCATGTCTAACACATCTGGGTATCTCCAGACAGCATGGCTCATCATTTGTTGCACTGATTTGAATCATTATAGTTACATTTTGCTGCCAGATGATGCAGGGACCACAATCATACATGTAAGCGGGTGTGTGACAAAGATTCTAGGTGTAGCTGCCACAATGACTCTTTAACCCATCATCAATCTGTGATTCAATACTGTGGCAGTGTAATACTGGAGCAGATGTCTTTCCAAGTTGGAGGGAGGTCCTGCGTAAAATGTCACTGTATCATGTGTATGAAGCACAAACTGGGCCAGAATTGCATCACCTCAGGCAAGTATCCAAACTTCTCTGAATGCAATTATGGTATTTAGTCTTGCCCAACTGGGAAGTCTTGTGAGAGAATCTGAGAGAAGTGTAAGTCTGTGAAATAATATGTGAGTGTCGCATCTCATCACTGCAACACTTTGATTCATTGTTTCTTGGGCAATTCTGTGTGTGAGCCAATATCAGTACACCAATCTTTCACAACTAGCTGACAGAGACCCCATCCTAAACCTTGATAGCTTTGAGCTATGGGTTAAAAATCAGTTTGGACTTTCTTGAGACAGGGAAGAACCTGTACTTGCCATATTGCTTTGAAGCACATATATTCTGTCTTTGTCAACCCATATTGGGGTTGGGTTGTGAGATGATTTTGTGCCTGACATGACCTTGACATAAGGCAGGGAGGTTGTTATTGACTCTCCCTCCAACTCCAAGTCTATGGTGGATGGCTCTCTCACCACTTGTCCTAGACCTTGCTGGTGCTTGACAGCTAATGGGCTGAAGTCAATCATATGTGATCTGTACTCCATGAGGTCATTGTATGACCCTTCAACTATACTAGGAATGGCCTTGAGGACTCAACTTCTGCCAAGGCCAAAACCAAACATCTCATTGTCCTGGAAAACATGAGAGTTTCCCAATGTTTCCATGGTACTGCTGTTGCCATTCCTTCAAAGAGGTCAAGCTGGAAGAAGATACTGGTGGAAATGACAAAATGGAAGAGACCATCCGAGTTGGGAAAGTGTGTGACCAGGGATAGCAATTGATGTGCAGGGTCGGAGGTCCACATTGTTTGTTGAGTATGTACAAGATCATCAGGGAAACCCACCTGCAATAAGTTAGATGAAATACATCTAAGCTAGACAAAATTTTCATAATTAGGTATAATTATGAAAGTTAGAAGTTTAGATGGATCCCTTTACTGCCTCCTAAATTATTGAACATTACATGAATTTAATCTACTATTATGAAGATTTAGAATGAACTTACTGCAAGATTACTCATGCATATTGAGGGTTAGAGCTCATCTGTGATTTTTTTTTTCACCACCTTACATCCAATGTTATACACAAAAAAATTAGTTTTTTATTAAAAGGGGTATAGTACCAGAAGGTAGTATACTAGTAGAATGCAAGAAACACTGGTAGATAGTAAAGGCATGTTTTTGGATGGGGATAGGGTCACAGGTCTCCGAGTCTGAGTCAATGAACAATGCTATGGACAAGTGAAGAATATATTCAGATCCTTGGTATGACTACTCACTATCCATGCCATCAATATTGAGGAATGCAAGAGCCTCAGCATGTGATGTGGTGGGGATGGTGTTATGGCCAAGCTTCCTGTAAAAATAATGATGGGAAAGCTACAGAATGTGTAAAGATGGATGCACTGTATTGCCTTGAAGATGTTGGCCATAAGCTTATGAAACTTTTTCGGCACTCTCATTCTAAGATCTTCCAGGATTTTGACATGTAAGAGGTAGACTTCACTGAATTGGTTGCCAGTGAAGTTAAACTTTGATGGGCAGCCACTAGCCTTCCAAGAGAGTGCAGCATACACCTGGATACTTAAAGTCAGTAACCAAAAGCAGTGATGAGAGTGTAGAAATTACTGCAGTGCTTGTCAGTGCCACCATGGGTATGGTCACTTCTGGGTGCTTAGACTTGTTCTCTGCAATCTCATTGAACCATTTGGCAAATAGAACACCAACTGACCGAGATCCATTGAAATAGTGGCCTTTCATGAGATGCATTATGATGTCACCCATATAAGGCTTCTTCGATAGCACAGTAGGCATATTCTTGTGCTGTAGAAGGTGTAAGTAAAACATCATTGCCACAAATCAGGAGATATACATTGAATTGCAAGACACAGTGATAGCTGTGTGTGCAAAGGAATGGTTGGGCAACACTAGTGCAGTCCAAGTCAGGGCTGAAATGAAAGTAAGCAGTGATTTGACTAAATGCATCTTCTTTCATTTTACCATGGAAGATTGGAACTTGGGCTTTGACCTGCATAGATGTTGAGGTGAAAATTAACAACAATTATGAATGATGTACTAGGTTAGCAAGAGCCGTTGCATAGGATTTATCTGTCTTGATTTGTTTTTCAACTGACACAACCTTTTGCTTGTGCGCTGCTCTCAGAAGTGCTTCACATGAAAATTGACTCATTTCGGTCAACTCAGGATAACCATTGACAAATGTCAGGTGAACCTTTATTTCAAGGATAGTGTCCTGGATAACCTGTCATGTGGTGAAATCCTGTTCGGTCAACCTCACCTTCCCAAGGTTGGTTTGGACCAGTTTTGCAGTTCCAGAATGGTGGGATGCATGTTGGCCATGTCCTTTGGTATGGATCATTGACACTTCCAGCTTGTCTGATGAAGAGATTTCAGCTTCATGGTTGGAGCTGGACTCCTCCAAGTCAGGTGTACTTGTCTTTGGTGTGTGGATGTCCTCCATCCATATCGGCATCTATATTCAAGTGTTTGGAGCATATTCAGTGTGGTAGCTATCATATGGCTGATGCTCTCACCTCACATGCTCGTTGATGATCCTGTTGTGGATAACACAACCTGGCTAGATAGTTGTTAAGAGACCTAGCCAATATATGTCTACTAGTCCTGCCTAGCTGCTACACTCACAAGCAAGAATGTTCAACCCAAGGGATCTGCTGTCTAGTCAAGTTCAATAATCAGTACTACACAAGGGGTCAAAAGTCTGAAGGTCAGAGATCAAGTCCGAAGGTATGGGACAAAGTCTGATGCACGGGAAATTGGGTCCACAGGTGTGGAGATGTGGAGATGGTGGGAGAGTGAGGGAAAGGAAGGGAATGCATCAGGACTAGCTTGGAGATGCTAGGGAATATCAGATGAATGAGTGACACTTGTGTCGGATCAAGGAGAGCAGGTAAACAGGTATATTGGCAAGGGTAACTCTAAGGACAGGTATGGGGTGACCAGTATTAAGAATTTCTCCCTCCTACTAAGTGGTGATTGTAATTCTGGTCACCCAACCCTATATAACTAGCTATGTGAAAGTCCAGAGTCCATAGGCGAAAGTAGTAGCAAAATTGCAGGTCCAATAATACATATGTAGGTAAAAGGCCATGAGGTACTGCAGCCAGTGGGGATCCATGTAATAACACTGTCTACTCAATCAGTAATGGGAAATAACTGACTATGCACCAGTGGAGTTAAGCAGGACTGGACTGGACATGGTAGGGTAAGTGTGTGGGATCTCTGAGTGGGTCTGATGCATTGGAGATGCAGAGATGGTGGGAAAGTGTCAGAGATGGGTAGGAGATGTGCAGACTGGATGGGGATTGCAGAATAGGGTTCTAATAGGCCAGCCTGAACATGATTGTCACACTGTGCAGACTGCAGTGCCTTTACCTGGCAGATAGTCAAAATGTGAACAAGACTGAAGCAAAACACTTACAGGGATGGATTGCTTTTTTTTGGTCTTTAAACCCAAGGTGAAGCTTGGTGTCTGTGACTCATAAGCATGTTAACTGTGGCATACAATGAGAGAGTGCTAATGTTGCCTTACCTCTGCTGATATAGTGTTTGCAACTGTTTCTAATTCTTCATTGCTCAACTCTGAGTTAGACATTTCAGCTTTGCGATCGACTAGATCTTCATCTGAAATCATGCCTTGCTTCCCATATACATCATCAATGACATGGTTCAAAGACTCAGAGGTATGTTCTTGCCACACTGCCAGTAAAAATCAGCATTGATAGTAGCCTTTATTGATTAGTAAGCTCACATCTTTTACTAGGTTGTGCAGGTGGTGGTGCTTGATTACCTGAAAGGTTTGGTGATGAGCCTGCCAGCCATGGAACCAGATGATCTTGTATCTACTAAATATTGCCTACTTTGATGGCACTTATTAGTTAATGTTCCCTCACTGGCATCTTGGCAACTCATCTTCAAGTTCTGTGGAGGGGGAGTTATTTCAAGTTCTGACTCTGAGTCTGCAAGCTGTGAGTGCTTGCTACCTCGTGTAGGTGGTAGCAATGCCTCATCTTCTGCATTTTGGCAGCTCTTCTTCAAGTTCTGTGGAGGGGGAGTAATTTCAAGTTCTGACTCTGAGTCTGCAAGCCATGAGTGCTTACTACCTCATGTAGGTGGTGGCAATGCCCCATTCTCTGCATTTTGGTGGCTCTTCTTCAAGTTCTGTGGAGATGGAGTCATTTCAGGATCTGACTCTGCAGGCTGTGAGTGGTGCTTGCTAGGTTGTGCAGGTGGTGGCACCTCATCTTCTGATAGATTTGATGAGAGGTCTGGTAGTCATGGAACCAGGTGAACCATGACCTTGATGTAAGTTTATGATATCATGTGTTGAATCTTGATGTTCCTTACCTTGGCGCCACTTCTTAGTTAGCACTTCCTTTGAGCCTTTGCGACTCTTCTTTTGTAGAGGTCTCTTTATGGACTTGGAGTCTGCAGGCTGTGCACACTTTTGACTCTTCTTGGGCAGCCAGACTATATATGATACCATGGGGTGAGTCAATCTTTTCTAGTAATGGCATTGGGTTGTTCTACTAACCTGCATTCTCAAGTGCCTTTTTCTTGCATTTTGAATACCTGTTGGGACTAACAGATGCCTGTGAGGTGATCCAGAACCTTCCTACATAGTTTGGTAAGTGCTTACCTCAACTTGGAGCAGGAGATTTTGTGCTCATGTTGTATTATCTGAATGTATTAGGAGGAGAAGACTGAATGAGTGTGTGTTTTTCTGAAATGAATGGAGAGACAAGCAAATGGTAGGTAAGAGAGATGTTTTTGGGGATGGTGACATTTTTGGTTTAAATCATCCACTAATATACACTTTCAGAATTGAGGGTTCATCCCTGGTATCTCATACTACTGCCACGACTTGGAGTCACCACAACACAGTACATTTGCAGTTGTAATAATCAGTATGCAACTCAGTCTAAGTTGTATCTAGTATTAGTGAATATCCCCTGCTACTAGTATGGTCTGATGCACAGGATGCAATATGACTTTTTTGGTCACCAGCCTAAGTCAACACTTGGCTAAAACAAAGAATCAACCCTGCATAACCATTCTTGCTGTATCACACTCAAATGTTTGCTCCCCATCTCCAACTCTTTCAGATGGTCCTGTCTTCCTTGAAGCAGACTCCAACTCTGCACAACCACCTGAGTTTGAAGGAGACTTTTTTGGTTCTTATGAGGAAGATGAACTCCAATGGCTCGATTTGGACACAGAATGGTATGCCAGCAGCAGTGAAAGCAGTGACAGTGAGGATGATGTACCTGGCCTCAATGATGCTGAATGGGAGCTGCCACTTGTAACTGGAAGGGATTTGGAGGACTTGGACCAACTTGGAGCTGCTGAAGAAGACAGCACAGAAACTAATAGCAACAATTGTGATTTGCATCAGCAAATTGAGCAACATGTGCTTCAGGAAGATGAAATCACTATTGTAAGATACCCTAATGCCCAAGCAGAGCAGCCAATTCCACAAGCTAACATCTGTGATGCCAATGCTACATATACTACTGTTATTGACAATGCTACAAATCCATATGCCCCCTTTAACTCTTGAATGGACTGGGAAATTGCCCAATGGGCTAAATTATGTGGCCCAATGTCAACTGCATTTTCTGATTTGCTTAGCATCAATGGAGTCAGTGGATATGTGTTAATCTTGCCTTTGGATTGTGGCTAACATGTCTACTCTTCATTGACAGGTACGTGAACAGCTTGGGCTTTCCTACAAAAACTCAAAGAACTCAAAGGAACTGAATAAGGTTATTGACAAGCAACTTCCTGGCCATCCAAAGTTCCATTGTGAACAGATTGTTGTTGTAGGTGAGGCCTTCGATGTTTTCTATAGGGATGTTGTTGAATGTGTTGCTGCCCTGTATGGTGACCCAGATTTTGCTGATTTCCTGGTCTTCACACCAGAACATCACTATGCAGATGAGGAACAAACTGTCCAATTGTTCCATGATATGCATACTGGAAAATGGTGGTGGGATACCCAGGTAAGTTTGTGTTTTGTGGATCTCTGCTCATTGAAACTAACTGTCACATTAAATAGAAGAAGCTCAATCAATGCAAACCAGGTGCAACTATAATTCTGATTATTATTTCAAGTGACAAGACTCAAGTGACAATGTTCTGAAATAAAACAGCATATCCAGTCTACCTTACTATCAGCAATATTCTGAAGGAAATTCACCAAAAGCTGTCTCACCATGCCCATATTTTCCTTGCTTATCTTCCTACCACCTGTCTTGAGCATATTATGAACAAGGCTTCACAACACCAAACAATTGCAAACCTGTATCACACCTGCATGGGCCATATTTTAGCACCACTGGAGGAAGCTGGGATAGATGGTATTATTGTGAAAAGTGGAGATGGTATCCTGCATCGTGGTCATCCATTATTTGCTTGCTTTGTTGGTGATTACCCAGAGCAAGTCTTGGCCACAGGAGTCAAAGCCACAGAATGTCCCAAATGTGACATACCACCAGATGAACTTGGAAGCAATACCACACCTTTCAAGTTGCACAACCTTGATGCTGTCCTTGATGCATTGGCTGCAATTGATGATGGAGATCTCGAATTTGTACAAGCATGTCATGAAGCTGGAATCAAGCCTATTATCCATCCATTCTGGGAGACCCTACCCTATGCCAACATCTTCCAAGCTGTTACGCTGGATGCACTCCACCAATTATATCAGGGTCTTGTTAAACATCTCCTTGGTTGGCTGTCTGAGGCATTTGGAGCAGCTGAGATTGATGCAAGATGTTAAAGGCTCCCTCCGAATCACCACATCCATCTATTCATGAAAGGTATCACTGGGCTTTTGTGAATCAGTGGTACAGAGCATAGTCAGATATGCTGTTTTCTACTTGGTATCATCATTGATATCCGATTTCCCAACCATCTTGCACCAAGCTGTCTCATACGAGCTGTCAGAGGTCTACTTACAGTGACTTGCAAAACTGTTACAATGTTTGGTACTTTTTCAGTGTACACAATATAGCACCTATGCATGTGGGAATCATGCTTAGTGTTGGTGGGGGCATGTGAACTACAAACCCTTGGCTACAGACTGGCACTTGGATCACATGATTTTGCCAAGGGGATGTGAAGATATGCCTATTTTAAGACAGAGATACCATTGTAATGGTTTTGCAGCTGTTGACATAGATGGTGAGATCTCAGTCAAATCAGAGGATGGTTACTGTTATTTGCTTATACAAATAAAAATACACATAAAAATATTATGTCTGAGTTTGAAATTGCTCCCATGCTTCTTTATTCTTAATCATTACCACCATGGGATCTCTCTCTACTACTCAAAAGAATACCATTCTCTTTCAGCTTAATGCTGGTCATTCTATTCACTCTGTTGCCTCCACAACTGGTGTCAGTACTACTAATATCTCCAAGCTTCATTAAAAAGAGTGTTCCTACTTGCAAAAGTTCACTGGTGGTCATTCAACCAACCTTTCCTCAGTCAATATTTGTCATCCTATTTGTTTCATCTTCACTCAGCAGGCAGAAACTACTTATCAAGTGATCAAATCTTTTTCAAATATTGTAAATTAGCCCCCCAACCCAAGTACCACTTGCTACTACCTGAAAACCTGGGATGAGGGCTGTAGTCAAGTCCAAACACTCTCTACTGTCTGCCAAATATTGCAAAGCACACTTGGACTTTGCCTATACTCACAAAAATTGAACTTTGGAGGACTGGAAGTTGGTCATATGGTCTGATAAAACCAAAATTAATTACCTAGGGTCGGATGGTTGCAAATGGGCTTGGAAAAAGTCAGGAGAGGGGCATAGTGACAGATTGGTATAAGGAACTATCAAGTTTAATGGAAGTTCTGTGATGATATGGGGCTGTATGACCTGTGAAGAAGTTGGCTATGCTGCTAAGATTGATGGTAGAATGGATGGAGATCTTTACCTTCAAATTTTGAAAGATAAACTTCAGAATTTCCTGGAGTTTTATGATCTTAATGCTTCTGATGTCATCTTTCAGCCAGACAATGACCCTAAGCATACCTGCAAAAAGGTCAAGAAGTGACTAGATGGGCAGGAATTTAGGACTATGGTGTGGTCTGCATAATCTCCTGACCTTAACCCATTGGAATATCTCTGGGACCTTGTCAAAAGGAGACTTGCAGAGTATGAGCATCTCCCTAAGGAAATAGTAGCAATGGTTGGGAATAAAGAAGCATGGGAGCAATTTCAAACTCAGACATAATATTTTTATGTGTATTTTTATTTGTATAAGCAAATAACAGTAACCATCCTCTGATTTGACTGAGATCCCACCATCTATGTCAACAGCTGCAAAACCATTACAATGGTATCTCTGTCTTAAAATAGGCATATCTTCACATCCCCTTGGCAAAATCATGTGATCCAAGTGCCAGTCTGTAGCCAAGGGTTTGTAGTTCACATGCCCCCACCAACACTAAGCATGATTCCCACATGCATAGGTGCTATATTGTGTACACTGAAAAAGTACCAAACATTGTAACAGTTTTGCAAGTCACTGTAGATTGGCTTACTGAAGCCAAAAGAAGTGATCACATGAAGAGAGGCCTATACTTCTTATGTCACCAACAAGGACATATGACAAGAGTGTGTCCTCAGAAAAAGAAGAACAGGAAGACCCCAGTTCATCACAAAGAGATAGAAGATAGCAACAAAGAAGATGAAGATACAATGATCTGTCGCCTCACTGAGGATTTTTGATGTGGAAGACTGGATCAATGTCAGTATCTTCTGATGTACCTATAAGACTTGTATGGAGTATTGGAATAGAAAGGAACTTCAAGTTCCCATTTCACTCATCTCTAAAACTCATCTGAAAACTGTCAAAACAACAGCCATTGTTGACTCTGGTGCTGCTGGAACATTTATCTCTGAAAAGTTTGTTAAACTCCACAAGATTTGCATGCATAAGCTTATGAAACCATTCTGAGTCACTACTGTGGATGGAAGCTATGTGAAGGGGGGCGCCATCACACACTACTGTGTCCTCATTGTAAAAATTGATGAACGATCTATGATTGGAAAGTTTAACATCACACAACTTGGTTGCTGTGACCAGATTTTACTTGGGATTCCTTGGCTGTGTGCCATGGATCCAGTAATCTGATGGAAAGCAGAAACCTTAGAACTCTCTTGCACTGAGAAGAGTGACCTCATTGAAGAAGACATTGACACCAAAAGGAAGAAAAGTGGCCTCCCACCTCTTTTCCAGAAATCCACTGATAAGATGTGGAAGAACTCCTGCCTTAAGAAAGAACTGACTCCAGTGGTAGTGCTGCTGAAGGCACCTCCTGTGACATCTATCCTGATTAAGGAACAACTGAAGACACCCCTAGAACCACTCCCTCGAGCTACCATCAAGGAGATCTTAGATGAAGAAGCACCTCCAGTATTACCCAACCTTGACCCCATCCCTGATGACAATGATGACTCCTTTGACAT